ACCAAATCCCATTTCTAGCACACCATATCCTATTCCCAGTACACCAAATTGCATTCCCAGCACACCAAATCCCATTCCCAGTATACCAAATCCCATTTCTAGCACACCATATCCTATTCCCAGTACACCAAATTGCATTCACAGTACACCATATCCTATTCCCAGTACACTAAATTGCATTCCCAGTACACCAAATCCTATTCCTAATCAGTATGACAAAATATTAATGATGGACTTATTGTTGTTTCTTTCTCAAACCAAACTGGGCTAGAACTTTCTGAATATTGGTATTGTTAAACTATTAATATTATTTGAAGATTTATGCAGCTTTGTCGGTTGAAATTTGTTCTTTCTCCTAAAAACAAACAAACCTGGGCCCAGTTGTATAGGGTGGATAGCGCTATTCGAAGGATAAATCCTTCTCCAGTGAATAAGTCGATGCTGTTATCCAATAAATTTATCCACTGCATAAGATTTATCCCTTGGATAGCACTATCCACCCTTAGTACAATTGGGCCCAGATAGTGATGTACACCCCTTGTACCACCAGGCACTGAAAATAAAATTTTGCAATCAATCAATTTTTGTCGTTGTTTTTTGCTTCCTGTTTATTTTTCCTGATTTTTCTTAATTTAAAATAAAGAGGAAAGAAAGAAAGAAAGAAAGAGAGAGAGAGAGAGAAAGAAAGGAAGGAAGAAAGAAAGAGAGGAAGGAAGGAAGGAAGGAAGGAAGAGAGAAAGAAAGAGAGAGAGGAAGGAAGGAAGGAACTGAACCCCCTGATACATGTTGTCTCGAAACCAAGACAATATTCTCTTAAAAAACCATATGATTTCTTACTAAATGCCAAAAGGTAAAGGTAGACCGCTCTGAAGAAAAGTAAGAAAGTTTTATGTTTATTAAAATTGGGCTGCCTGTGGTAAGACGGCGTGTTAAGTTGGCGCGGGAGAGTAGGGCCTGGGTACGAGAAGTCAGACGCGGGAAAAGACAGAAGAAGAAGAGACGCGCGAAAGTCAAAAGCTATTCAAGAAAGAAAAGGTGAAAAAGCTGCTTTAATGCATGGTAAGCCCTTTGATTCTTCACTTTTTATTATGAAAAGGGCATGTTAAGTTGATTTTGAGTTTTTTTGTCTATTAAATACCAGAATGTGTGAAAACATTGGAGCTTAAAGGATTCCTGGAAAAAGGGAGTCGATCGAGCGAAGAATAAAGACAAGAGAGAAGCTGAAACAACGACAAAGACTCAGACAAACTTAGGATTTAAATCGATGGTAAGGACTCGAAATTTATAAGAATGATGTGAAAATGTCAATTTAAGTTAGTATTTAAGTTTATCGTGCATAGAAAAGCAGAATTTGTATACATTTTGCTGTAGAATATGTGGTGTTGCCCGGCGGGTGTACAAGAAGTCAGGCTGCTGTGTTTGATCGAAAATGTTGATATGTGCGAGTTCAATTCAAATTTTAATTCTTATTGTAAAGTTTCCTTACGTTCTATTATTGTTAGTGTGTAAGCTCTTCTCCATTTTATTCTTTTTTTCACAAATATACCGAAGTATTATTCAAATACTTTTACTTTTGGGGTTAAAGATAACTACTCTAGTCTACTAGTCTTGATTCAGAATGGCGCCAAACTTAAGCTTACATTATCAAATTGCAACGGCCACTGGTTGATCTTGGGAACACGATATCTTGAGTCAAAATTCCTCACCTTTAGTTTACTGGGTTGTTCCTGGAAAGAAAGAAAAACTAGGGAATTTTATATTCAGTCAGGGAAATCCTAAAATTTGTTTGTAATGTTTTCCCATTTCATCCCACGTGTCCCTTGAGAATAATATTCTTTGTTTGAGTTGTATCCATATTCATGTGTCTTCTCATGCACAACCTTAGAAGAATACAATAAGAAACAAAAGAAACAATACTCTAGGGAATGACATGTGCGCTGAAATGGAAAAACATTACTCCCAAGCTAAAGAGGTATGTTCTGCTGTAGAACTGAAAATGCTGACGAACCTTTTTGCAAAGCATTTTATTTTTGCCTGGAATCTTGACTTTGAGTGGTCAAGAAATATGTCCCAAGGAACTTGCTGTTGATGCTCAACACAAATAACAATCATTTCAGGGCAGAAATATTGTAATTTAGCCTGATGAGGGGGTGGGGGGAGAGGGCTGAATAACCCAGAAAAAACCCTCAAAATAGAGACCCCACAAACTCTAGATGGAACTCAAACTTTTAACCTGATACTACAGAGATGAGAAGCAAGTGCACTGTTACTTATTAAAACCACTCTTGATTTCTATATTGTTTATAAAATCTATCACAGTCAAGAAGAGGATTTAACTATTTTAACTTCATGTAGAATCATGCAGTACCCAATGTACTGTAAGAATTACTAGGAGTAATATGAATTTTAATGCCCAGCTGGGATATACAGTCAAGCATAGACACTGAGAATGTTAATACATACTGTATTTTACAAACAGAAATGAAGTCTGTGCCAGTCAAGACAGTCGATTGTTATTAGAGGGCTTTTTCTGAACCAAGTAAAGCTACTTTCACCATGTTAGGCAATGGAAAGAGGCAAGTTATGAAATATAATATATATTTATTAACATTGATATAAATGTTAAAATGTTTAAATTTCATTGCATTAATAATATTGATTTATTCTTTCTGTTTACCCAATAGCAAAAAGAGGCAAAGTGCTTCAAATGGAGGTATGTTGTGTATTATATGAAACCAATGAAATTGATATGCACATAACTATTTAGAAACCACTCTTTACTGTAAGATACATCTATTTCAAAATACGTTGTCTGTTGGAGATCTGAAATGGGGGATCTGAGACTAAACCAAATTTTTGTGCCTTTATGTTTTCCAGCTAAAATACGAAAAATCACATTCTTTAACTCAAAACTCATGCATATTCCAATCTGAAAGAAAACTACGTTGTTTGGGTGTGAACACATTACAATTTGCAGCATGCTACTTGGTCTCAGATATTAGGTTTCAGATCTACAATGGACAATGTCTTTTGAAATAGGTGTACATGCCTGGGGCTATAGAGTGAAGGGAAGCATACTGGCTGCATTGAGGAGACTACAGTATGTTTTTTAGGGGGGTGGGGAGGAGACTCTAACTATTTCCTTTGGGGAAGCTATATCAAATAAAGAGGGTTTATGCAATAAATTTGAATTGGGAGACAATAAAATAATAATAGATTTGCAGGGGGAGGCATGTAACTTTAAACTCAGAATAACACACACACAAAAGGTGTTTTCTTGCTTTTTTCTTGCTGCTTTAGAACTGGATTTCAGAAATTTATATTATCTCTGATGATCGTAAATTTTGTACTCTTCTTTGCAACAGTCATAAGTATTGGTCCCAGATTCTCCTGAGCCCTCTATAGCCCAGGGGGATCTGGGAACCATACAAATGTAGCTATGAAGGAGACTAAAATTTTGTAGGTAAATGCATAAAAGAATTATTTTGTAGTAAGTCATTTAAACTGTAATAATGATCTTGAAAGTATCAGTAAAAGGATCATAGATTTCAAAATTGTGTTCTTATATAAATAATAATATATATTCATATATATTGTCATGCACATTATCTTTCCTATCAGACCAATAAACCCACCTAATGTGTCCTTGAAGTCTCATATGAGACTTGGTAGCTCAGTGGTTAGAGCATGGCACTGGAACAGCTAGGGCACGGGTTCAAATCTTGTTCAAGACTCAGATTTTTTTCTGAGTCTTTCAATTTGCGAGGATCAGCTCAATTTGATACATTGCAACTGCAGTACAAATATATATTTCATATATATCCTCATGCACATATATAAAAATTGTTCTAGAAAAATAATAAGAAAAGTAACCAGCCCCACAACGATGAAAGTAAAGAAGCTGAAGGCGCAGGGGACGTTGATCCGCAGCAACGCGATGTTTCTATTGATGATGATGGGTCATCATTAGAGAGCACATCTTACTCTGAATCAATAGGATCAGCAAGTAGTATACCTTGCCAAGATGAGCTAGCCAAGCTGGCAGAAATTGTGATTGATTTTGATATCAATTTTAATAAGGACAAAAGCGAGAGGAAAGAGGAAGTGAAAGAAGTCCTTAAAGCAGAAATTGCACTCAGAAACACAAGTGGAGGAGTTATAAGAATTAACAGTACACAGAAACCAGCAGTGAAAGATAGAGATGACTGGATGAAAGACCTGTATGAGAAACGAAAGACTTTACTTGGCAGTGAATGTGGTGAAAAAGATTCAATTGGTGACATTTTAGATATTAAAACCAACGGTGCCATGACTTACATATTTGTAAGGAAGTCATCAGTGACTATTCTAACTGATGATTCTCACCTTCGACAGCGCAGTGAAGGAAGAAACTACAAAGTCTCTTTGTATTCCAGAATTTGTGAGCTGCTAAATAGGAAGAAGAGAAGGTGTGTCTGTGCAAACAATCCAAAATTCCATACATCATTTCGTTTGGGTGAAACATTGTCTTATGAAACAATGACTGAGGAACACAAGCTGCTCAATCCCATCAGGAATGAAAACCTGGCTAATAACCTTTGTACCAAGCTAAGTGATAATGTAGTGGCATTTGCAAACACTCAGGGAGGGACAGTGTACTTCGGAATAGAAGATAAACATTCCTTCATCAAAGGACAAAAGATTGAAGATAACGAAGAGAAAGATAATATCTTACTTAGTATAGTTGAATGTATGGAACGAAAGCTTTGGGCTTTGGATTCTGGAGAAAAGGTTAAACCTAAAGCAGGTGAAGATTATCATATCAAGTTCTTCCCAGTAGATGGGGCTGGTGATAACACTTATGTCATAGCAGTCCATATCTGTGCTTTCCCTGGTACTGCTGTGTTTAAGAAGGAACCAGAATGCAGTGTACTGGATCAGGAAAACCAAACTGTCAAGATGGAATTTAAGGAATGGCTTTCTCTACACAAGCCTACTTCTGTAGGTAAGGCATACATTTAATTTTGAATTGCAATAAAAGGTCACTTTCCCCTACCCTCAACGGCATTATATAATACATTGGAAACAGTTAATACACCACTGTGTGTCCTTATTAAAAGTGTGTGTTCAGGGTTATTAAGTTATCAGCAGGGTTATTATATTATGAGCTGAAACTTTGCTTTCTTACCAATAACAAGGTGTTTGTGGACCAAACTTGCCCCAAGCACACCTCGTGTTTCCAGTGCTGGGGAAAAGCCTGACTCTTCTGGGTCTGGAGGGGAATAAGGAACTGTGGACAGTCTAAATTTATGGGGGTAATAATTTTGAAGTCTCAATAAGTAAACATGGTGCTAGAACAAATAGATTTCTTGTATGAACCATCCCCACCAATATACAAACAAGCTTACCCTTTTTCTTAATTTTCTTATTGATTATTCATACCTTTGATAGTTGTCATTAAAATGTTTTTGTGTGAATGTTTTGACAGGAGATGAAAATGACCAAAAGAAATTAAAGCGTCAAACATGTGGGAGAACAGTCTATTACACTGTGAAAGACACCATTGAAGATATTTACAGTGATTTGATAGAAGGTATTTGAGAATACATGTTTCATATAATATATATTAATTACCAGAGAGGAGTGGTACACCATAGAATATCCCATGAAGCACTTGTATTTTCAGTATACAAAAGAGCCTTCAAGAATAAAATACATGATCTGGTGTTGTTGAATATTTTTTCCAGTATTGCATTCCATTAGATCTATTTGTAACAAAAAGATTCCACTTGAACACTTGTGGAAATCTTGAGCAGTGGAATTCAATACTGGAAAAATATTCAACAACGCTTGATCTTGAAGAAGACCCTTTTTAACGCCGGATCTTGAAGATGCTTTTTAATTTATCTATATTTTGTACCATAATGATGATTATGATGGCGGTGGCGGTGGTCTGAAATGGGAAAACATTACACCAAAGCTAAAGACGTCTAGATTTGTTATTTATTGCAGGTTCACCAGGGACACTAAAGATCAGGCCAAAACATGCAATGCATTCAAGAAACAGAAGCTTGCAAACATTTTTTAGCTGTTTGAATAAGATGTTCGAAGAAAATAAATGGGAAGGCATTACATTCATTGAAAGATGTTGGGGAGTTAATATAGGGCTTCCAAACACTAAGCCAGCAGAGGTGATTCGGGACATTTTGGTTTGTTCTCCAAGCATTCCTCTTTTATTGGTTAGTCTATGTAAGGGAGAAGCTACCAGTGAAAGCCTCAAGTACAACATAAAGCTAGCAACTAAGTTGAAGGGGATACTTGCCCAAGAAGGAGGGTGCATGGAGAAATTCTATGTTAAGCCTATCACACTTGCATGCTCTGAAGAAGATGACATAGGCATACTAGATGAGATGATATCTCATGCATCTGTCTATCCCCATGCCTACCGGATGTCTAATGAGAAATATCAGGCCATCATTAAAGCCCTAGTCCCTGTACTTGCCAAAGTGAATTCCTCATTTAAAGGTTTTGTTGGCAATCATCTTTTTCATTTGCTCACCAAGGAGCAATATGAGATTCTCTTTGAGAATTTTGAATCGCCAAAATTGATGATAACAGGCCCTCCTGGCAGTGGGAAAACTGTTTTGGCGATTGAACGTATTCATCGTCTAAGAAGACAGGGCTTTTCTTTTAAAGAAGTTTTGTTTGTGTGCTCAAATGAGGTGCTGGAGGCTAAAGTCAGGTATGATGTCCTTGTATGCATTCAGTTGCAATTGTTGTTCTTTTTTTCGTTTTCATTAATGTCTGTGGATTCTAGCTTAATTTCACTTTAACCTTTAGATTTACAACACTATTCCCCTCATTTAGAGACAGGGAAGAGTTACATTGAGCTCTCTTAAGATGAGAGCACCCTTTGTTGAAAATACAATACAATATACAATACAATATATTTTATTTACATTCTTTTTTAAATTTTTAAAATACTAAGATTCTAATTACAAATTAATCGGTTAATTACATTTTTCTTTTCTCATATTTTTGGTATTAGTTAATTTTTTGGAATGTCAGTGTCTAATTTAACACTTAGTTTTCAAAATTTATATCATGTATAATTGTTTTGGTAGTTAATTTGACGATGAGGGGCATTGGCTTTGCAGCAAATGCTCCTTAACCTTTTTTTTAAAAATGAAGGATTTTTTAACTAATTTTGTTTCAGTTGGAATTTCTTTCCATAGATCTGGTGCTAGAGCACTAATTGTTTGTTTGCCAATATTTGTTTTAACTTTTTTTTAACTTTTTGAAAAACAATAGACCTATCTAGAAAGAGATTTTTTATACTTCCGGGCCCTGAGYCCTCTATTGAGTTGAAAGCAAAGATTCACATGAGATTAAAGTGCTAGTCTTATGAATGTATTAATGACGCAAAAAAATCCCCGATTTTCTATATGCTAAAATAGGTTATGATGTTCACCAAGAAACAATAATTGGTTCGAAAAAGAAACTTTTCCCATCTGAATTCTACTTCCGAAAATTGTTAAAAGACCGTCCGCCATTTCTATGAGCAGTGATTTTGTGGTTGCATTTTAATTTATGTGTGACGTCATATGCGCAACTGGCATCCTTTTTATCCACACTGACTCTACAGCATTCTCTGTAAGAATGCATGACTTGGTTTAAGGCTTGTTTTTAAATCAAAACATTTGGTTGCAATTACACATTGTGAAAAGCCGGGAATTTTGAAGGGTGGCGCGTATGACGTCACTTCCTTCAAATCACTAAAAGTTGCCAGGAACGCAATCGCTTAATGGCGGCCTCAAACGGCCAAACTTTACCRGCTAAATGCAACATCTTCCCAGTCTCGTATTGAAAAAGAATTTGGACAGTAAGCTATATTACATATCTAGTTTTATATGGTACAATTCCCAGGGATGGTGTCATTTTCATAAGACTAGCACTTTAACGATTTTTTGCGGAGTAGAAAAAGAGAGAGAGAGAGAAAAACCCTCAAATCAAGGGAGAGAAATAATGAAAACTTGACTAACACAAGATGATGATCCAAGGATTGAAGTAGATTTTGTTGGACCCTCCCTTGATTCAAGGTTTTTCTGGTTAACCGAGAAGCTAGAGTGTAGCGACAACCGGAATGTCCAAAACTTAAGAGACCGAAATTTGTTGCCAGTTCATTAATTCATGTAGAGTGTGGTTTTGTTAACATTTTCCATTTTATGGTTTTCAAACATATGAATTTAGTATTTTGGCCTTTCTTTTTAGGCACATTAAAGTAACCAATTTGGATGGTAAACCAGAGCCATTATGTTTAACATACAATTATTTTGGAATCATTTCTTATCTGAGAATTAAACATGCACTTGCTGGTGTGAAGCATATTGTGATTGACGAATGCCAACATTTCAAGCAGAACCCCCCAACACCTCAATCGACTGGTGGGAGATATTGGTGGGAGATATTAATGGATTGGTGTGATAACAAGAATCCTCCAAGTCTTTGGATATTTAGTGACTCCTCCCAGCGGATATTCAAAGGACCCTGTGTACTTGATAGTCTACCAGATGGTTTCTCCCACAGGCAGCTGAGTACCGTCATCAGGACCACTGTCAAAATACACAGATTCATTTGTGAAAGATTCATGAAGAATGGCCCTCTGATTCAACTTGGACATAATCTTGAAGGAGAGGACGTCAAAGTTCTGGTGCCAAATCAACCAGAAGAAGAAGAAGAAGAAGAGCACTTGGTAACTCTGGTATACTTGTTGATCTCCCTCCTTAAAGACATGGTTAATAAAGGAGTTGATCCAGACACCATTGGAGTTCTTTTTACAGATAGAGGGGAAAAGGCCTTCTATCGAAAATTATTTGATGAACACACAGAGCATTGTCGAGTCAAGGATGGAAGGGCTGTCTCTGAACATGGTATCGTGTTTGACACTATCCGCGACTTCTGTGGGGAGGATAAAGACATCATTATTGGGTTCTGCCCCCACTTTGATCCTAATTCAGGTTTCCAGAATAATGAGGCATTGATGGTCTCCTTATGTAGTCGGGCAAAGCTCAAGCTCATTTTGATCCTTGAGGATGATCAAGTGGCAAACTCTTTTGGATTGGCTGACTGCTTGAAAAAAACAGATATCCCATTTGTAAAGGATGAAGTTATAAACTTCAGGGGGTGAAACACTTTCAAAAAAAAAGAGATAGAGATGTAACAGGAACACAGGTTGAGTAAGCTAGGAAGGAGAGAGATCCCAGGGGCATTACTAAACAGCGAAACACCAAAACAACACAATAAACATGATTTTTTGCTGAATTCTAAGCTTCAAAACACAAATGGTCTATTGTGTATTTGTCTTTGTATGATGAATATTCTGATTGAGTGATAGCAACTATTTGTCACTAAATAGATACTATTAGTTAGTATTTAGTTTGATTTTATTTCACGGTTTAATTGCATCCGCTCTAACATGATCCAAGTCAAATGAAAACTACTGTATGTTTTAACAATTATTAAATTTGCATAAGAAAGTAATCTCAAAACCAGAAAGAGAATGTTTTTGCCAGTACACCAAATTGCATTCCCAGTACACCAAATCCCATTCCCAGTACACCAAATCCCATTCCCAGTACACCAAATCCCATTTCCAGTACACCAAATCCCATTCCCAGTATAAACGGGTATTTATAAACGTGTTGAAGTGCATTTCCTTCACAGATTTCATTATCAAAATATGCATTTATGTAATGTTGGAAAAAACGGCAAAAACATTCTCTTTCCATTTGATAAGTTTAATTTATTTTCTTATTCGGATTAAATAATTGATAAAACATAAGGTAGTTTTTATATGAGTTTTTAGATCGTGTTATAATTAGTTAATGAAGAAAGTGTCAAAGCTCAGTGATTCATAAGTACGTTAAAAGGAAGTCATAAAGTTAATTTAAGTTATTAACTATGTTTTTCCACAGGATGCGGACTCAAAGAAGCTTAGAATTTGGCAAAAAATTATGTTTTATTGTGTTGTTTCGGTGTTTTGGTGTTTCGCTGTTTAGTAACACCCAGATCCTAGGTTCTCTTGGGCTATTTTATGAAAAACTCAAATCACACATGATTAAAAAACGGGAACGACTAACATTTCTTCTCTTTAAATATAAATAGAATAATGAACTAATCTGTGAGAAACCAAATGAATACAATGATATGGAAATATATTATAATAGTCTTTAGGCTATAAAGAATAGTTTTTTCCTGTTTGCTATCTCCTATGTAATATTAATTTCTATAATCGTAATTAGCCTAATGAATCAGAATCGTCAGTAATCATGTGAGACTGGATCTTAAAGAGGCTCTAGTATTCATCTAAACTTGGATTCACTTTTATCTCTGGTAAAGTTATCCTTATCAGTATCCTAAATGTTGTGTCTTCACCCTTTTATTTTCTTAGTGGCTCACAAGATCAATCTTTTCAACAACATGGGCAATAGCTGCTTAAAAGCCTTATCATAACACTATATAGAGAATACTTATAAAGAGGACTTTATCAGGTATAAGAATTATTAAAAAGGAGTTTTTGAAATTGGCTTACTCCATACAAGGGAAATCACACACAGGAAACAGGCAAATTCCTTGGCATACATTGTAACTTACAAATTACCCTGCTGCAGAGTTTTCCTTTAATTTTCCCCGAGCGAGAGAAATTAAAGGAAGCCTGCCAGTGCGCTACTGTAGGTACAAGTAACACTGCATAAGGTATGATGAACAAAAAATTATAATTGTATTGATTCAGAAGCTATAACAAAGCAGCATGCAAAAAGGTCACAACTTAGATGTTAAAGTATAATTATTATGATATGAATATAAAAGGAATCAGAATGCAAGTATTGTAAAATGTTAGTTTAAAAAAAATCCAGGCAGGAGATATTATACATAGTGATATTACAGCTATTTCATAAAAAAAGGTTGGTAAATGTGCATGTTGCATGTCGTATACCAAGCCCACAATGCACTATGCATGGACAATGTTTATCCAATCAGTGAAAGGTCACATTGATATGGAATTTTCCCAAACATTGTCTGCACATCTTCTGCAATTGTCTTTTGTGACATATTCAAATAATAATAATGGGATTAAATAATACCTTTCAAGGTTAAACAATATCCAACATGCAACAAAACCATTATGAACCTTTTTAGAAACCAATGATTGTATACAGCTATTGTGGTAGAATTTTTCAATCTTATTTAGGATCCCAAATTTTTGGTTAGTTCCATCCCCATTTTTATCTTTTAAATGTGGATAATATGTATACTCTAGGTACCTATTATAATAGAAATCCATTATTTACTCTAGGTTTTTAAAAAGTCTTTGTAAAATTGTTGAGGAACAATAACTCAGTAACTAAATTATAAAAAGTGCATGCCAAGAAAAAATGTGGATATGGTTTTTAAAAAGTCTTTGTAAAATTGTTGTGGAACAATAACTCGGTAACTAAATTATAAAAAGTGCATGCCAAGAAAAAAGGTTGATATGTTCTTAAAAAGTCATAAAATTTTTGAGGAACAACTGTTACTTAATTAAGTGCATGCCAAGAAAAAAAAATTTTGAAAATTGTAGTGCTATGTTATGAGAATAAAGAAAGTATTAAAAATGTGCATGTGCTTTTTATTTTCAATTTATAATTATTCATTTATTTATGTTCTGATTTGTTTACACATTTATCTATTTATGTATCCATTTCCCCCCCTTATTTATCTCTTTATATATCAATCCCATTCCCAGTACACCAAATCCCATTCCCAGTACACCAAATCCCATTCCCAGTATACCAAATCCTATTCCCAGTACACCAAATCTGATTCCCAGTACACCAAATCCCATTCCCAGTACACTAAATCCTATTCCCAGTACACCAAATCCCATTCCCAGTACACCAAATCCTATTCCCAGTACACCAAATCCCATTCCCAGTANACCAAATCCTATTCCCAGTACACCAAATCCCATTCCCAGTACACCAAATCCTATTCCCAGTTTAACCATAAACATTCTTTATTTTCAAAGATAGCATTTGACCAATCAATACAACCGACATGAACTGAATAGATTTTTGTTCAAAATCCATCATCAAACGTATTTTATCTTTTAAGCGTAAATATCAAAGCTTTCGCATTCACAAAAGACATTCAGCTATGTCACTGCACTGACCTGTATACATATAAAGTACCTTTACAGAATCTCGGAATCAGTTCAGTGATCTTTAAAAAAGCTCATAAAACTGTTCAAAGGGGGAATTAAGGCAATCCATAAAATTTAAGGATAATTCTTAGATTACAAAAGTAAAAATACTCTCTAATCGCAAAAATATGGATATATTTTGCTCACTTATAGCCTGCAAAGCAGGCGTTTTTGTGAGTTTGGGGCAAAACCGGGGATTAGGGGGAATTTATGAGCAAGAATTGAAACCGAGCAAAAAAGAAGCGAAGGGAGAGGGGCAGGAAGGGGAAGAAGGCTTCCCTTCTTTCCCCTCCCCCTCCCCCACTTTCCCTTTTTTTGCTGGGTCCCATATTTCTTCCAGGCACGTAGTTGAAACAGGAACCCCGATTCTTCCTTAAACCCATCAAAAGAACGCCTGCTCTGCAGGCTAGGTCGCTTAAAAATCGATGCATTTTCATGAAACTTCAGATTCTTGATAAATAGATGGTCATAATTCTTACTCCCGAGTTTGGAGAAAATCTATCGAGCGCAAGTATTTGGGTGACAAAATAAGCCGGAAAAAATGGCATTTAAAAAATACGCGAGAAATTCGACATACAGAAAAAATAAAACTATTGCAAAAATCGAACAATTCTTTCCCCAAAATAAAAAAAATACATTTTTCGAGAGAGGAGTTTCCCAAATAGCTATTGAAGAAATAGAAAACGCGCGTGCGTGCTGTGTGCAGTTCAGCACGCGGGGGTTGGCAGAACATGAGAGAATTGTTAGGAGAAGCACGACGGGTAGTGGAGTGACCTGCCAATCCCCAATTGCCTTATAACTCCAGACTACACAGCTGGCCTGCGTTCAGCTGGTTTACTGCCACCCCAGACAAAAATCGCGATGTCCACTTTGCAATAGACTGCCGTCAATCAAAGACGTTGACGTCATTTATACGCGTGTGTGATTCAAAAGGTGCCAAAACTTGTCGGTTGTTTACAAGTATTATGAGCCACACTCACTGGGCCTATCCTGGCCGATCCAAACGCATTAAATGACGTCAACGTGTTTGATTTGCTATTGTGTATTTCTTACTGGGGGGAAAAAATTTCTTAAAACGGGGTAAATTCAAAAAATAACCACACAGAGAGAAAAAAGTTTTTTTTTTTTTGATACATAGCAGTTTATTGAATATTTACATAACAAAGCATCTCATTTGATATTTACAAGATTTTTTTTTTACAGATAATGCAATAAAATACATACATACAGTCAATTATTCAAACAGTTAATTATTCAAGGGGGTTTCCATAATTTCCATAACGTTTTCTATTTCTTTTTATGTTTATCTAATTTGCTTGAATCTCTCGCTATGATAGATTCACACATAAAGGTAATCTTTCATAAACTTTAATAAACTTTAATAAACTTTATTGATGAATAAAAGAATACAAAAAAGAAAAACTATATAACCTGCATATAGCTAAAGCTAGTCTAGGCAGGTTAAATTCACAGAATATACACGTAGATTTACAAAGATGTCTTTACATGTTAATAATAAATAAATGCTAATATCAGAGTACAAAGAGCTGAATAGGAAATGAAAAGTAGTTCACTGAGTAGAAAATGAAAAATAGCTTATTACAGATAGACTTACTTAAAAAGTTTGAAGATCTCAGTATCATAGCGATTAATATTAAGATCGTTTAATAAAACGGTTTTGATTTCCTTTTGGAAGTTTTTTTTGGATAAACTCCTAATGAAAGGTGGTATTTGATTCCATAGACGTGCACCCACTCGCGAGAAGGAATCTTTTTGAGTGTTTAAACGTAAATATCTAGTAAAGAAATTATCACTGGCAGAAGATCTTGTTTCATAGGAGTGAATATCTTTATGTAAGTAAAGAGTTTGCTAATATTACTGGGAATATAATCATATTTAACATCGTACATTAGCTGTGCTACTGAACAAAAATAGAGAGATTTGATTGGTAAAATTTCATGTTCAATGAATATCGGTATTGCACTTTGAATTGATTTCACGAAAAATATTGACCTTAGAGCGCGCTTCTGCAGAATGAGCAATTTATCAGTAAGCTTTTTGCAAGCTCGACCCCAGGTACATATTCCATATATCAAGAGCGGCTGTAAGAGGGATTTATACATTTTGATTAGAGTATTTTTTGGAACAAAATGTCTCAATCTGCTGAGAAT